AATCCACCACAAGTGCAGGAAGGCATAGGCTCAAATTCCTTCAATTCATCCCATAGTGTCTTCAATCGTGTATAACACGTGTTCACATCAAGAGCTCCTTGAGTGAGTGTAGTGATTTGGGATTTCAATTGAAAAATCCTAGGACCATTACCTTGCTGAAATCGTTCCTTGAGATCCACCCAGATCCCTGCTGCAGTGGGTATGTATAGGAGACTATCAGCAATCTCACAAGCAATGGAATTCAGTAACCATGAAGTGACCATGCTGTTGCATCGAATCCAGAAAGAAGAAAGTAAATCATCCGAGTCTGGTTAAGGAAGTGATCCATCAACGAATTGGTATTTGTTTTTAGCAGTGAGAGCCATTGACATAGCTCTGTTCCATGTGTGATAGTTTGTCCCTGTGAGAAGATGAGTGACAAGCACAAGACCTGGATGATCGGCATTGTGCAAATAGTATGGACTGTTTGTGTCCTCAACCGGATTTGTGGTGGTGGTGGGTTTCGGAGGTTGCTGGTCCTTGGCCATGACAAACAATCAGAGAAAAAAATGGAAAGAACCTATATGCTCTGATACCATATTAGAAGAAAAACTATATATTCATCTTTTTGTGTGTCTTACAAATTGGTATCTCTGATATATATATACAAGAGAGAGAAAAAAGCAAAAGGAATCTCCTAACAACCTGGAACAAAAAATGACCAAAGAAAACGCACCACTCTGCACTAAAGGTGTGGTTTGTTATAACAGAAAAAAAGTAAGATAAGAATGAACTAATTTTCTTAACAAATATTAACCTACTAATCACAATCTTAACAGAAGACAGTAGACAAAAATTATTAATTGTAAGAATTAATGCAATGGGTATGTAAATAAATTTTTTGAACATTTTGTATGCTTAAGGTTGAACCTAAACTCCCCTTTTTCCTCTTGGTTTCTGTTTGTAATTGTATTTTAAGGGAATAGACTGTTTATTATTCCTACTCCTTGCTCTCTATATTCGACCATCACATGTGTACTAGGGGAGTGTTTCTTTTGTTTTTCCACCCTCGAATTCTGTTTATTAGAACAACCCTAGAAGATGAGGTATGCAAGCTGAAATTGTTTTATTGGGAGCTTAGGAAATAGTTTTCTTACCACTCTTTGAATTAACTAAATTAATTAGACCTTGCATGTATTAAACCTAGTGGGACAGCATGTTGATAGGTCCTCATTAACGCACCCTTAGCCATGTAGGATTAAATTTATAAATAAAATGTCATGAATCTTTTTAATGTTAACCGAATTGGTATGTTTGGTAAATGTTGGATATTTCGCTGTTAGGAGAAAATAAAAGAAACCATTTGAAGTCAGAATTAATTAAAGAAAGGACCATGCAAACCGAATGTGAATTAAGAGCCTAGGGAAATAAAAGTGCTGCGTAATGTCTAGAAAAAAATTAGAGCATGTAATTCTGACTTGTTGTATTTTATTTAGGTGTGCATCAACCTTCGAGTGTAGGCTGAAAAATTGGTGTTGATTGATAAATTACTTGGACGCGAGGTAAGTGTTAGGTGGTTAAACCTATTGTGACTATTAGTTTAGATTATGGAATTTTTGATTTGTTGCTCTCATATTTCCGTAACAAGATTCTGTTTGAAGGCATGTGAAATCTGATCTGAATATGACTTGAGGAAGATTCTGCTTTGTATACACATGCTATTTGAAAGTATGATGCATAGTCCATGTGAACTATGACTGATGATGAGGAGCATGAACATCATAACTTTGCATCTTATCATGTGTGTGTGAAGCAAAACATAGCATCTCATGCATCCATCTACATACAATTTTGGAAACAGAAATATATTATGAAACTAAGCATACGTTTGAGCACGCATCATCTAGGCATGCCGAAGGTACCCGGCAAGAGCACCCTAGCTCCGTGTGCATAGGTTCCTTGGATATTCAGTTCTGTGAGCCAAAAAGAATATCACTTGGAGTTCTGTTAGCATGTGCACCTTAGTACTATGGACATGCGTTCTGGCGTTATTTACGCGCTCTGTTTAGTACTTTGGCGTTATATACGCGCTCTGTTTAGTATTTGGCGTTATATACGCACTTGATTAGTATTCTGGCGTCATATACGCACTCTGATGATATTTAATATCTGTTCGGAATTTACTCGATGATGTGACAATGTTGGAAATTCTGGATTTAAATTAATATTGTTGCAATATTGGATTTTCTGCCACACTACTGGGATTTTTCTCACCCCTTTGGGGCTGCTATTTTTACAAAATGGCAGGAGGACGGAAGAGCAATGGAAGACATGATTATATGGATATATGCTGTTATGTGCTGCTGTATGGACTATTGTTGTTGCTGTTTATTTGATGGATGATTGTATTAAATTGAGTAGTTTGGATTACTGTTGAATTATGATTTTATTACTATTTTTAAGTCTTTTGTGATCAGCAAGTATTTTGAAAACAAATTCCTAAAACGTTTTGCGAAAATAATTTCTGAGGTTTTTGAATGCTGAGTTTCTAAACAAATTTAACGAGCACTTTACGAGTTATATTTAGTGGGGCTACAGACCTCCGATTCGCTTATATTTTATATGCACGCGAAACTTCACGTGTCTATTTTTTGATTATGTAAACGTTACAATGGAATTTTGAAAGCTGGATTTTATACGAATTTTGCAAGGCAGCAACGTCTGCCAGGAAAATAATAATTTCAGCAAGTTAAGAATTGTGAAAGTATACTCTGATTTTTGTAAGTAATCTTATTTCAACTATGTGTTTTAATTAGGAACATCAAAAGGATTTTTCAGTAAAATTAATTGTGACGAACGAACTCTAATTTCGCTTAGCTAACAACTCTCTTGGATGCATACAAGGGAGGGTGGTACACATTTGATTTAGAATTACAAGGTGTTATATGTGACCTACCATTTTGGAGCTTAGGATGTCCTCTTTGTTTTCCTAAAATATGGGACAATCATGAGTTTATGATATATCAAATGTCAGCTGCCCTGTTCGCGGAGCTTAAGATGTCCTCTTCACTCTTATATCTCTCTCATTTCTTACCCAAATAAGGCTTATGATATATCAAATTAAAGATCAAGGTGTCTACTAGCACATATTAAAATATGGGAGCAAAAAGATAAGTATAATGACTACAGTTTTGAAAACAGTAAGGGATGTTGGTAAAACTGAAAATGCAGTGTTGACAGTTTTAAGGAATTAACTTACATCGAGCGTATCTGGAGTTTAACATACTAAAATATAGAAATTTATGGATAAGTAGTCCATCTACAGTTTTGGAAAAATTGAAGGTACCTGAAGTTGGTAAAATGTCAAATAGTATAATTTAGCTTTGTTGGTTTATGGGAACCACTTGGCAACTTTAAATCCATGTTGTTTGATGTTAAGGTATAGCATTTATGTTTCCACAATAAATTTTGCGTTATGATTACAGTTCGTAAAATGTTTAATACAAGTGTTTTAAAAATGTAAACGTTATTAAAAAAAAAAGTTTTCTCGTATATTTAAATGAATCGTTGTGATTATATCTGCGCTTAATATCATAATTGATGATAACATACCGGTCCGGTAACGGGGTGTAACAACATGCATTCTCATGTACGAGTTCTAAGGGATTACACGAAATTCCTCCATATACATGTTACTCAATCACTTGAATTACAAACTGAACATATGAACTTGAATCTTATTATACAAACTATATTTGCAAGCTTTTAATTTAATTACCAATTCTTTTGAAATGGCAATACAAGTGATATCTCAAACACATCCTATGCTTGTAAATTAAACATCCTATGGGGTGTGTAATTCACATTGGCTCAGTTATATTTTAGGATGTGCAGGTATATTATTAGTCTCACTAACTTTAAATTTAAATTTTAAGTTTAAATTCATTAGTTGTGAGAAATTTTAATAATTTGCACTTTATTACAAAAAAAGTATGAAAATATCTTGTAAAAATATTGAACAATTTACAATATGTTATCTTAGTAGGTCTGGAAGGACATGCCAGATATTGTAATTTTAAAAAGCAGGTTAGGCCAGGTCGATATCTTAGCTTGTATTAAGCTAAGAGGTTAGGTTAGGCTCAAAACAAACTTAACCTATTAGATTAAAGCTTGGATTGTTCTTACCTATTTAGATCCCTAGTGGTTATTGAGCATACATCTATCTTATTTATTTTGCTCACATCAAAACGTAAATATATATATTATAATTAAGTGGTAGTCCACGTCAGTAATTATGGAAAAGAATATATTGTTAGTTCTAGGTGATTTGTAATTTTAGCAAATTTATAATCATTAGATCCTACTTGACAATTACAAAAAGATGATGGAACTATGGAAGTGATTATGCTTGATGAAATGATAGATATCATGAGTGCCATATGTGTTATATAAAAGCAGAATCTTTTAGTGTATTAAGAAATCTTATTTCTTGTTTTAACTGTTTATTTTTATTTATCTGACTGTTGTAATTTATCTGAAATTAATAATTAATTAATAGATATAATTTAATAAATTATAACTGTTAAATGAACATAAATCAAACAATAGAGATAGGCCCAGAGACAACTTTTTTTTTTTTGGTAAACAAAGACAACTCAATTTTCACACGAGAGTGAAAAAAAATTCTTCCTCATTATAAAAACATAAATGACCTTTGCCCCCTCTTCTTGGAAATTTAAGTGTATCTGCCAAACAAAGAACTTTCACTTTATTTATTAGAGAAGTTATACCTCAGATATGACTAGGGGAAATTCATGAATTTTAATCACGTAGGAACATTAAAGCAACCAAAAAGGAATGGTTTCATTTTAAAGAAAACTCAACATGTACTCTTGACCTGTTCATTATAAATATAGGAACAAACAAAACCAATTCAAGTTCCATTATACAATTACTGTAGTTTACTTAAATTGAAACCAAACAAGAGAAATCAACAAAAGCAACTTTTGGAAAGGTTAAACATGGAATCCTACGTCCCACCTACCTATGAAGATTTGCCGGTGAAATTAGAACCAAAGGAGACTCGAGAATCACATCTTCTGCTTGTTCACATTCCTGATGGTTTGTGTAGTTTACTAGCTATTATGTGTTTGACTTCATGTTCTTGCTTTTCTTTTTTATATATCCTGCATATTGCTTTTCAGAGTCTCCATTAAAAATATTTTACTTTTTAACCTTTGAATTATGCAATACCTTCATATAATTTAGATTTTTATTTTTTTGGTAAAAATTTAGAATTAAATTACACGGAATCATACTATTCATTGCACGGTTTATCTTATATTTAACATTTATAATTTATATTTTAACTTCTTAAAGCAATTTTTAATTTTAATATAATATACTATTCATTATTTTATTTTTCTTACCAACACTTACACGTTAATGTTCTTATCTTTTTTGTTTTTATTTCATTTTCTTCTTTTATAAATTAATGAACATCATAATATTGTATTTACATTTATTATTTAATTTTACCCAAAACAAATTTTCATTTTTTAATACATTTTGTTTTTGGTAAACTTCCGAAGACCCTAAACCTTTCATAATGGGATGTGTGGCTTCTATATATTATTTTAATTATATATATTCTTTTATGAGGATTTTTGTGGATACACACATTGAAAAATAAAAATAAAATTGTATTGTTGCATACATTATAGGAGAACTTTTTCTTTAATAGAAACGATAAATTTTAAAATTGATAGAAAATACCTCTTTGAAAAAGAAAGAAAAAAGTTTTTTTTTTTTTTTTTAAATAACCATGTCCATGTTGTTTCCCATGGTATGCTTTGTGTATAGGTTTCGCACGAGAGAATGTTGGTGCTAAATTTGAGAGAGATTTTGTAAGGGTAAGGGTTTTTGGTGAACGTTCACTTGGAAATAATAGAAGCTGTCGTTTCAATGAAGTGTATCAAGTGCCAGCAAATTGTGATACTAACCGAATTTGGGGAAAGTTTGAAGGAGGAATTATTACCATTACAATGCCAAAGAAGGTCCATTCAGAGCCTAAACAAGAAACAGAACCAACTGAACAAGAAACACCCAAAACTCCAACACAAGAAACTGAACCAAACCAAGAGAAGGACAAAGAGGACATTCCTCCAAAATCTGAAACTGGAGATGATCAAGGAAAAACAACCACTACTGATGCTGAAGTAAAAGATCAAAAGGGTCAAGAAGGAATTTCTAATCAAGAAACTTCAGCCACAGAAGAGTCTATGCCTCAAAAGGGTGAAAAAGGAATTTCCCAAGATGCCACAGTTACAAAAGTTGAAAGTAAAGAAGAGGCTTCTCATGAGCCTTCAACCCCACCAAAGGCAATAGAAGATTCTATGCCTCAAAAGGATCAAAAACTTCCTCAAAAAGAAACAGATACAACTGAGGCCAAACTTCAAACAGAAGAAAACTTTGCAGAACAAAGTGATGAAAATAAGGAAAAGCAAAGGGTTGCAAAGGAAGAAAGTAAAGACCACCCCAAGAAAAGAAAGATTCCAGAGGATGATGATTCCCTTATTACTGGAAACGAAAGCAAGAAAGAAAAGAAAGGATTAGCCACAGTTCCATGTATTTCCCATGAGAATACAGAGGAGAAAGAGAAGAAGGAAAAGGAAATAAATGGTGAATTTGGGGCTGATGCTGAAAAAGAGAGTTCCAAAATGGCCAAGCCTGAATCCACAATGAAGAAGGTGGCTTCTCAAGTTGTAACTCGTCTTAGAGAGAGGTTCAATGAAGAAGATAAGCAAAAGCTAATATACATTGGTGCTGCAGTTGTTGTGGTTGCACTAGGTGTTTATGCTTCCTACAAGTTTCGTTCCTCACGTAGACCATAGGCAATGACATGGTTTCTTACTGAAGTTTCGTTTCAATAATGACATATAAAGATATTGTAGAACAAGCTTTGCCAAACACTAGTATCTTGATGATCAAGTTCAATTTCAGGGATTTACTATACTCAATAGTTCCCATGGTTGAATCAACGTAAGATAGATATTCATGGATGTCTAAAAGTAATACTGTCATTGTATTACACATATTTGACATAAAATCCAAAATTACATTGTTATTTACATTGTCTTGCAAATATTCTCCTAAAAATAATGACAAAATAAATGGGGAAAAGAAAATTAAACTAGCGTATATACAAATAAATTAGGATCAAAGGTACATTATTAATTGCTTAACTCACCATCCCGTTTGAGATAAAAGTGATGTTGATGTTGATGTTGACATTAATTACTTAAGTGCTTCATTCTTTTCTAAGATCATGTCACTTCCTCTTTACTTATTTTAGCCACAAGAGCAAATACATATTCTTTGTGAATCCAGCTAAGAATTTGATGATTTAAATGAGTTGAAGTTGTACAAAAAGAAATAAATCTCAAACGCCCCATACTCATCAACATTAAGAAACTCAAATATGCAGCTTGATACATTGATGTAGGTATCTGGTTCTCATTGTTTGAGTTGTTGTAACTCGTAAAAATAACTTGATAGATTGATATAGGTACCTCCATTTTCATATAACATTTCTTTCCATCAAAATCATAATGTCTTGATGATGACAAGTTTTAAGATACGTATCATTATTCTCGTTTGTTGTGTGTAAAAACACACAAGGATCGAAAGGTTTCTATCGGATCCTGATAATATCATTTTGGGCCATTCACTATGGGAACTTCCTTGGTAAGAGTCAAAACTGTTTTTGCTGACATACAAGGAAACCAAAATACAAATGAAAGGGTGAGTTTAGTGGGAGATAATGACTTAAATGAGTTACTACGAAATTACTATTTGGTACAAAAAAAATTATGCAAAAATTAGTACGAATTGTTGAATATTAAACTTGATCCATTGGGCTTAGTTGTTAAATGACCCAATGTAGCGGCCCAATATCCAAGTAACCGGTCCACACGCACGAGGAAGAGCCCACCATATCTCAAGGGCTACGTTCGCTAGTCTTGGGGCTACAGAGACAGAACCCAACAGCATTAGGATTATTATTAGATAATTATTTAAATTCAAGTTGTTATCAAATAAAGCTATTAGTTGGCTAATTGATAGGATATCTCCTAAACTTAGGATTAGTTGTTATTTGCATTCTGTTATTTCAATTACTGATAGGATTAGTTGTTATTTGCTTCTGTTATTTGAATTACAGATAGAGACTAGGATCTCTATAAAAACGTCAAACACAAGGATGAAAGTAGAGAGTGATTTGACAAAATTTCTTCTTCCTTCCCTTTTCCAATTTTCCCTTCCTCTAATCTTCTCTATTCCCTTTTTCCTTTCTCCTCCCAACACCCAACACCAAGAGATGCTTAGCCAAATTTTAAAATAATTCACTCTAGATTACTCTATGGAAATATCTAGACAATAGTTAAGTAAATGAAGCAGCAGTAATTTTGTGTAAATGAAAAGGCACAAAATATTGGAGGGAACAAGAATTTCCCAAATGGAATAGCGCGGGCAGTATTAGAAGGAGTAATATTACATTTTGCGCCAAAAAAAATGTAAATACATTTTCTAAAATATTTCATACAATATTAATTCATCAAATAAAACAATTGTCAACGTGTCATAATGGGCAATTGACAGTAGCCAGACTTTGGGCATCGAGGTTCAAATCCTGCAATGCTACAATTTTTTTGAAATATCATTGAATTTTTATTAATTAAAAATTATACACATTAAATAAAATTTAACTTCAAATTATTTAAAAATTATGTATTAAATAAATTTTAAGTTTTTCTTAATTATGAAAAATTAATATATCATAGTTTATCTTAATTAAGATAAGATAATATACTAATTAATACCTTTATATTTTAATTAATTAAATAAAAAAGAATTTGTTAATATAAACTTAATGTTATATTTATAACAATTTAATAATCTCAAAACTTTATGTTTTTATTAAATATAAAGAAATTAAATAGAATAATTGGGTTTTTTTGGATTTTCAATGCAAAATAAATATTTTTTTCATTAATTCAAAAGAGAAATAATTTGCCAAAATTATATGGTAAAATTTGCATAGAAAGTGTGCACGTTCAAGTCACGCATCACTCTATGCGCGACTTGTGCAATATGTGTTACACTCTGCAAAATGTGCATCACCCCATATGTGTTTAAGTCACGCACTTCCCCCTGCGCTTCGCGCAATATGTGGCAGAAGCGCGCTTACTTTAGCACAAGTCACGCATGACAATTATTATTAAATTGTATCTTATTTTTTTCTTAATTTAGAATAAAAATTAAAAGTTAAAATTGATGAATTCTCAATTTAATCAATAATTTTTTTTTATGATGATACTTTTTATTAATTAAGATAAACAATGGGGGTATGCACGTTCAAGTCCCGTAAGGGGTGATTTGCAACTTAAGCAAAAGCCAGTGTGCTGCCATTGTAAGTCCCACATCATTAGGGGTGTAAATGAGACATGTTAAGCCATATTTTAGCCAAAATGAACTAGGCCTATGTAAAATATTATTTATTATAAAACACATATCGAGCCTAGAAGCTTAGACGCCAGGTCTTTTAACATAGGCTTGTGGCCTGATTTCTAAAGAGGCCTTTTAATGAGTTCAAGCTTATACTATTTTTAAAATAGACCAAGTTAAGTCAGGCCAAAAGCAGGTTTGCCTATGGGCCCTTGACAATTCGTCTGACTCGTTTATGCCCCTACGCATTACCCTTATTCATGACTTGAACACGTGCACATACCACGCGCGACTCGTTGCGTGAAACATGTAGCAAGCACAAATTTTCTTTTGAACAAGTTAAGCATCACTTCAAGCGTGACTTGAACACAGCAGCCACAAAACAATACACAACCGCCACAAAATAATTTATATAGCGACGGTTAACACAAAAAATGGCCGCTAATAAGAACTTTTGCGACGAGTTATCTAACAGTCGCAGTAAAGCGTCATGTTTCCCTTTTATTCGGCTACAGTTGGTTTAACCGCCTTGATTACCACCGTAGAATTCAATACTGCGACAGTTTGATTCTAACCACCGTAGAATAACTGCCGCAGAATCCCTGTTTTTTTATAGTTTAAGGTAGTAACATTATGCACCTAATAGAAAAAAAATTACTAAGCAAATTTATCTGTGGAGAATTTTTTTTCACGAGAGATGTCCCTACCCATTTGGATGAAACTAATTTCTTTCGTGGGGTAGAGTGTGAAATTTTTTATCACTGACCCAAAAGTGCTTTGCTTAAGAATTAAATGAACAACCTTTCAGCCACAAACGTTTGCTTCTTGGGCACAATCCACTTACCAAATGTACCACCCCTTGAGGTTGTGGAGGTGAGAGTTTTGGTAGAGAACCCTTTGCTTCCTGATCGGACCAAATACAGTATGGGCTAGCCAATGTGTATTGGGCCAAATCACACACGGTTGACGGAGAAGGCCTTTGAGATGATCTGCTTTTTGGGCTTGAGGTTGTAGTTGATGATGTGAGGACTCAGGTTCTCCTTTGGCACGATGATTTAGACTGGAGGGGTACCTGCGATGACACTCCGATGCTCAAGTCAGTATAAATTGTAGGTGTATGTGTATTCTTACTGAATTAGATTGTCATACCTAGGCATGTACCCTCTGTTTATATAGTGGTTGTGATGCCGCCTTGTGAAGGCGGTATGGCCTCTGATTGGCCGTGTAAGGGCCGTAGGTTCTGCCTGTATCTTAATAGCCTTATCTCTTAAGGCCAGGCTACTTTTATAGAGTAGCGGCAAGTCGGTATTGTCCTTGGTCTATTTGCTTAAGGGCGCGGTGGATCTTTATTATTATCTGTGTTAGCTTCCTTATCTCTGAAGGCAAGTAAGAGGGCAGTTTCGTGCGTGATGGTGTCATCGCGCCTTGCTTTGTGCGCGATGTGGATCATCGCGCCATATACTGGGCTTTACGGGCTTTGTCTTTACGTGTGTGGGCCTTTGATGGGCCTATCATATTTTATCCGGATCAGTTGCCCCCTAGCTCGCAGTTTTGGTATGTGGCAAAGCTGTGAGATATTTATATATATATATATATATATATATATATATATGCATTTGTGCGCGATAAATCCTTTTGGCGCGATCATTTGATTTCACAATAACCATGTCGAAGAGTCATCATGACTTAGCCGCTTAAAAATGGTTGATTAGATGTTAACTGTCAGAAGCATTTAATGCCACCGCAATTACGTGGGTGTTTAATGACGATCGTGGGCTGTTTTAAAGTTAAAACGTTTTACCTTCTTCCCACGTGTCCCTTATTATCCATTTTACACAACATGTTTTAACCTTTTGGGTATCCGTTTGGTAAAGTTTTCATATTTGTACTGAGCTGCTGAGTTTGGAGGGAAAGCACGCAAAACACTTCATCGTGACTGTGAGAGACCGTGCTTCCCCTGTTTGTGATTTCTGGTGTCGACACGTCCTGTCTTCCTTCCGTTCATATGAAGTATATATTTGAGGTATATTTCTTCTCCCTTTGTTAATCCTTTGTGTTTTACTTTCGTCTGGGTTTGTAAACGTTCGGGGTATGTCTGATAATCGCAAATTTGTGAACTTTATCAGAATAGCCGAACGGTTTGGCTCCTCCAGTCTTCCTCCCAGGTCTTTACCTAGGTCGAGGTCTTTAGGAACTGGGGAAGCGTGGCTTACTGGCAAATGTGCTGCTCCCTGGAAGATATTAACTTTAAATGATAACCGTACGCCTTCTGTTCGACGGTTCGAAGTAGGTTCCTCCTCTCGAGAACCTAATCGCGAGATAACCAAAATACTGTCTCAACAAAGCTCATCCCTTTTTCCAAAAGTTTCCTTTAAAATGACTAGTCCCA